GTCTTTTGGGCCCTCTGTTTCTTGCACGTTCTAGTAGTTAGTATCTTTCTGGGAATCTGTCCATTTCATCTGTGATCTAGTTACTGCTATTTGATGGTGTCCTTTCCCTTTGGTGATGTTGGTGCTGATGTCACAGTCTCACTGCTGATCTAGTAGTTTGAGTCTGTTTTCCCTTGGCTTGTCGCTCGTGTATATCTTTTAAGAATCAGTCAATGTGGGCTATTGGGTTTCTCTGCTGCTTTTCCGTCTCTTTTGTTAGTTTCTGCTTCCATTACAGATCCTCCCTTATCCTTGCTTCAGCTCCAGCTTGCTGCTCTTTTCCCAGTGGCTGAAGGTGGGAGTTTGGGTTATAGGTTTGGAACTACTCTCCGGTGCAGAAATGTGTAGCTGTCACTCTCCTTCCCACGGCTCTTTGGCTCCACCCCAAAGTTTCACTGCATCTGCTTTCATGTTCCTTTGTTTCAAAACATTTTCTAATTTTTGCTTTGTGTTCTTTCACCAACTTGTTATTCAAGGAGATGCCATTTCCATTTCATTTCTAGGTTTTTTGTTTTTTTTTTAGTTTCCCAAATTTCTGTTACTGATTTCTAATTTTGATCCACTATAGTGAAATAACATACTCTGCATTATTTCTGTTCTTTTAAATTTGTTGAGGTTTGTTTTATGGCCTAACATATGTTCTATCTTTGAAATCTTCTGTGTGCACTTCAGAAAAATGTGTGTTCTGCTTGGACGAGTAGAGTGTTCTGTAGATGCGTTAGGGAGAGTTGGTTAGCAGTGTTGTTCAAATGTTTTCTTTGTTTTTGGTCTGTCCATCATTGCAAGTAGGATGCTGAAATCTTTATCTATGGTTGTTTGCTCTATTTCTTCCTCCAATTCTGTCAAGTTTTGCTTCTTGTGTTTTGCTGTTCTGCTGTTAGGTGCACACATGTCTATAATTGTTTGTACTTATGTCTTCCTGATAGATACATTCTTACTATTATTAAATGTTCCTCTTTATTGCTACTTACATTTATTGTTTTAAAGTCTATTTGGGGGCTGCAAAGACGGTTCAGCAGTTAAGAGAGCTTCTTGCTCTCTCAAAGGACTGGAAGAGCTTGACTTCCAGCACCCATGTCAGAAGACTCACCTGTAACAATCATCTGTAACTCCAACCTCAGGAGATCCAATGATCCAGCACCCTTTTCTGGCTTCTGTGGCACTTGCACATATGTGGCACACATACACACACACACACCACACACACACACACAAATAAAAATAATCTTTTTAAAAAGTCTATTTTGTCTGATGTTACAGGCACTCCAGCTTTCTTATGATTGCTCAAAAGCTGTTTTGAACTGGCAAACACTTTGATAGAAAGTGTAAGAATTTGCCTCTTTTCTTTTTCTTGCTTATATTTCAAAAAATATATTTCACCATCAGTAAACCATCCTTGAATATTATCTACAACCCACAACATGAAGACCCGAATGATGTGGAAACTCAGATGTGGAAACCTGGATGGAGAAGTCTTTTTGAGCTTCCATCCTTTTGACTTCTTCAACCAGTGGACACTGCATCCTCCTTTATAAAACCTAGGAGTCCTCATGACCAGGTCCTGGTGGAAAATAAAAATTCAGGGGAAGAAAATCAGGAAAAAATTTATAAGCATCTCTGAAATGTATGTGTGCTAGAAAACAATATGTTTGCTTTTGAAATCCCTTTCAAGTCAAAAAAGCTTTTTTAATTCTGGGGTATCATTCACTCGCTGTAAACTCCACAGAACTCCCAGATAGTGCGAGTCAGACCTGGAGTCAATGCTAATGGCATTGTCTGCATTGTGTGTCTTAATGTACCAACATGATTACAGATCTCAAAAGGAAAAAACACCCATTAAAAATAGACGTAATTCCATTCTGAGCAAGGGTCCCTGTTTGATCTTTGCCTGTGTCCAAACACACTTGTACTGAAGGGTGACAGCCCAGACAGCCCCACTGGGTGGGACTACCTCATTGTCTGCCAGGTTTCTGCCACTGGTTTGAACTCTAAGAGTTCAGAGAGGTGAGACCAGCATAACGGTCACCTAGTGGTATGTTGTCATGAGACCCTGGTGACTGTGTGTGAGTGGCCCATACACCAGCAGTCTTTGGAACAGCTAGCTCTTCCTCACTCTTTCAACAACCAGCCAATTTGATCTCAGGAAACCACCCTTCAGTGTTGGCTGGGCTTTGGGGTCATTTTTAATTTTGTCACAAAGATAAATGTGTCTTATGGGAGTAGTAAGTGGTTTTACTGGCGATATTAATGGAACTGTGACCTCTCCTGTATCCATGGTCCTACAAAACAGAAAATGTTTGTATTATGTCAGGCAAGTTCATTCTCAGCCCTTCCTTGAAGCTGGCTGCAGAGGAAATACACTATTAATAAGCCCAGAGAGTATCGGTATGTGTGTGCATGTGCCGGGTGCGTTGTGTGCCTACAGGCATAAGGTCATCTGCAGAGACAGTGGATTTATGCTACTCTTGACTGTCATGCGAATTATGTGTTTTCTGCTGTGTTTAAGTGGACACAAATTATTGAAGTTCTAGTATCTTTGAATAGAACTGTAGTGGGCCCACTGCTGATGTTGAAATTGGCCTGTAGAGAACAATGGCTGTGGTAAAAGTTAAGTGTTTGGGGGATCCAAAGAAACAAAAGGGAAGAAAAAACTCAGATGCATGTTACATTAGCCTTTTCTATTTCCATTTGAAATTGGCATTTCATTAGAGATGATTACACCAACGTTTACTATTTCCTGCAGAAAACTTTTATGCTGGTATCTTTTGTTAGAAATGATTGAGAAGACAGTAAATGAAATATGAAGGATTTACAGTTCAGTTAAATTAATTAAACCATTTCCTGGTGTTTGTGCTTACCTTGGGACTCACAAAAGAGACAAAAATATAGACTTATAGGAGGAAGGAAAGGAATGGCCAGATCCCCACGGTCCCTGATAAAAGCCAACCTCAGTAGCTATAGCTACAGGAGGATTTCACTCTGATAAGCTATCCTTGTCGACATATAGTTAACTTTTCCTCTTTGCACACGTTCTGTATCCACTGAGAATTTCCTCATAAACACTCAGCTTTATTAATTGGGAGTCAGTGCCCCATATTATAGAACACAAAATGAAAGTAAATCAATGCAAAATATAGTTTTTCTTAGGTTAAAATGGGTGATGCATCATAATTTGAATTTTAACTTTAGTGATTAAAAATAGTATTAAGTGACACATGATCATTCTGGGAAAAACAACAAATACAGAAGGTAAATAAGAAAATAATTTCCACCCAGAGATAACTGACTTCCTCCTTCCCTTTGTCTCTCCTTCCCTCCATTCTTCCTTCTTTCCTTCCTTCCTCCTCCCTCCTTCCCTCTCTCTCCTCTTTCTGTTCTTCCTCCTCCTCTTCCTCCTTTTCTTCCTCTTCCTTCTCCTTTTACTTCTTCTTCTTTTTAAGACAAGGTATCTGGCTATGTAGCTGAGGCTGGCCTTAAATTCCCTGATCTTCCTGCCTCCTCATCCCACACACTGGGATTACAGATGTGTACCACAATGCTTGGTTCTAGTTTTTTTCCCCTCTGCCATTGCAAGTCTGGAATTAAGGTGTTCTCAGGCCCAGCCCCTGTGATATCAATTGGGAATCCTTCCTCCGCTCTTACCACTACTTGTTCTGCTTTCCCAGCATTCCGTGGTTTACAGTTGTCACAGTGTGACTGCTTTTGTCCCCATATAGCAGTCTTTTTATTAGGATGTCAGTTGCATTAGATTAAGGGCCCACTCTCCTAGCTTAAACAATTATATCTGCAATGGTCCTCTTTCCAAACCAGGCCCCATTCATAAGTACAGAGGGCTTAGGACTTCATCATATCTTTTCTGGTGGTGATGGTAAGACATAGAATCCCTCCCATAACAGTCAGTGTAGTCACTGACTGTAGGTATCAGGCAACCACTGCCTACTGCTCTTGTTTCTCCACAATTCATTCTGTATCAGCATCCAGGTTTGAGAGAGGAGCTAGCAGATCTGGGGCTTCCTTGGCTCTTTCTGATCCAGACAATGAGAGTTCAAAGAGGACTTCTGGCCCCTTAAGGCTGGTGCCAAAGAGAACACAAACTCTCCTGAGGAGATCATGCTAAGGATGTCAGCGGATTCCTGAAGACATGGGAAGGGTGAACAGTGAAAATGTTTCTAGAACAATCTGATACCCATTCTGGTTGCTGGGAGAAATTACAGGGAAGTTGAACTGGGCGGTTAGCATCCTCCTTTCCTCTGAGATGGCAAAGCCACATTTTCAAAGGAGATATTTTGGCAATTATGTAAAGTCTATTCCAGACCCTTTGCAGGCACGTGCTCATTCAGATGGTTAAGCCTTGCATGAGGAAGAAACAGACCCAACTGCATATGAAATGCAGGCACTTCCGGCCTCACGCTCATTCATTCCTAGTCTACCAGGCAAGGTCTAGAAAGCCTTAAAGTGGTGCCTCTGCCATTCAAATGATAATTCCCTCTGGCCTGCTGCTCCCCTCTCATCCTAAACTTTCCTCAGAAGTTTTCTTCACTGCACCTGTGCTTTCCCACAAAGGCTCTGGAGGGCACTTCCTGACGCACTTAGCATAGTTAAGATATCTATGCAGAATAGTAGTCTCCTTTCTCTCTCTCTTCACACTTCTGAAGCACTTGCCCCTGGTAGTCCCTGTATCTCAATTGCATATTATTAGGGTGATAGGGAAGCCACCTGAAGGCCAAGAACTGAATAAGAAACTGGGTTTTGTTGGAGCAGTGTTCTCTTTTCTGGACAGAAACATAGAAGACCAGATTGACAGACAAAGCATGTGAATGCGTGAATTACCGGAAGAATAGGGGCCCAGGCGACTACAGCAGTGTCCCAACTAACCCGCTCCCTGCCCCCGCCACTACAGTGTCTACATGCTTATATTTCAATTACTTATATACTTTTTTTGTTTGTTTTTCCCCACTCAGATGCAGGTAGACCTTTCATAGAGATGTACAATGACATACCTAAGGTTGTGTATATGACGGAAGGAAGGGAGCTTGTCATTCCCTGCCGGGTCACCTCACCCAACATCACGGTCACTCTGAAAAAGGTAAAACTGAGCAACAGTACTCCCACAGTGTTTTAACTGCAAATGAATGTGAAGACGTTTAAATCATTGTTGTGTCTCTGGAATAACTTTCTACGGACATTTGGGCTTCTCAGTAGACTTATTATCTGTAACATCCTTTTCCTGCTAAGTAAGACTGCTAGAAGTTGCATTCAACATGTATTTAAATAGAGTAAAATGATAATGTCTCAAGCATAAATCTATATGAATAATGAAAGAACTAAAATCAAATACAGTTTTGATATATTGTCACAAATCCCAACGCCTGAAAAAGTGAGTAAGCCAGTCATATAGTTCTTGCAGATAAGCTGGTGGCTGGGTGGGGCATCCACTGCTGAAGCTGGGGTTGACAGCAGGACTCTAGTTCACACAGAAGAAGCCAGCCTTTGGTCTGAGGGTGCAGGTCCTCATGACAAAGGCTTATTTCCTGTGTGCTTCCCAAGCTTAGCTCTTAGGGCAAAGGGGAAAAAGAAATCCATCCACCAGACCTCTCTTCATAGTATAAGTTGTATGTGTGGAAAATGAAAGAGATTTAAGGTAAAATGCAAAAAACAAAACTAAAATGTGAAATTTCAGCAAATTCATCCACAGCAAGAGTCAGGAGTGTATCAATACTAAGAGCTGTTTAAAAACTTCCCCGTAGGGAAGCTTAGAGCATGGAGACAAGCCCCCAAGGCAGCCCCTACTGCAGTCCACCCAGCAGGTATCCAACAAGCATTTGGTGGTGGGGAGTGGGGAAGCTGGAAAGTTTCCGTTGTGATCCACAGAGTTACCTGTTGGCCCTGAGCTCTCAAGTATGCAGAGGTGTCCCCAACTGCTTTCCTTGCTTTTACTCTGCTGTGTTGCTAGGCTGACTTAAGCCCTTAATATTATCCATCAAGGACAGGCTTTGGCCTCCATCACATCTGTGTCCTGTCACCAGAAAGTATAAAACCACTGGGTGTCAGCTGGAAACACTGAGGAGTTGCACTCAACTGCTCAAGAAAATATTGAGGTTCCCAGGGTGCTGAGGACTCCTGGCCACACTGGGCCATAGAGCTGAAGCCATGACTTCCCATTCAGTGTTTCCACTCCTCTTTGCCTCCTTGAACGATTTAGTTTGTTAAGAGGAAAACCAGAGTTGCTCAGACACAGTAGCTTCTGGTTTCCCTTCTGGAAGCAGAACCGATGCCTGGTGGCACAGCAGATGGCAATTCTGAGTACCATGGTAGGAGAGATGAGGTTTCTGCTGGGCTTGTTTAGACAGCCACCTTTTTGGTAAGCCATGCAAAATGTGAGCATAAAATTGAAGCTTACTGAAAGTTCTAGCTGTTGACACATGAGGATAATCCTGCAGCTCCAGTGGGAAAAGTGCCGATTGTTTCCCTCTATTGAGCACCAGGTCACTCTGCTGTGACAAGTCCCACCCCAAGTCTGACAGCTCTGTCTGTCATAGATGGGTATAGCTTGTGGCCAAGGCTGGTTATAAGTCACCAAAATCACCATAACTTATCACAGTATAAATATATTTTGCCTCTATGCAAAGAAAACTAAATAATCACAGAAAACTGGAGTTTTGACTGGTCCTATTTTCATTTTAGAGGAAATGTTCCTCCATTCACTAATGACTGGAGGAGCAGACTTGGCATGGCACGATGTTAAAATATGTTTCTTCCTTTTCAGTTTCCATTTGATACTGTGATCCCTGATGGAGAAAGGATAATTTGGGACAGTAGGAAGGGCTTTATAATATCAAATGCAACATACAAAGAAATAGGGCTGCTGAGCTGTGAAGCAACAGTCAATGGGCACGTGTACCAGACGAATTACTTGACTCATCGGCAAGGTAAGTGCTGCTCTAAAGGCCTGAATGTGAGGCAGCTGCTCTGTGCTCCGTCTGCCAGCCAAGGTCTTGATTATTTTTCTCTTGTGCTTGCAGCCAACACAATCCTAGATGTCCAAATAAGCTCTCCAAACCCTGTGAGGTTGTTCCGTGGTCGCACTCTTGTCCTCAACTGCACCGTCACCACTGCCCTGAACACGAGGGTGCAGATGAACTGGGATTATCCTGGTAAGGTGAGTGGCCGCTTGTCTACTTCTGCAGGGTACTCTTTGCTTTTAGCAAGTGAAACTCCATTGGGTTTTTGAGGTGGGAAAAATCAGAAAATTCTGCTTCCAGGGCAGTGTGACTGGACACGGAAGCTTCTAGTTTGAGTGGTGCCTCCCTGGCCTGACATTCCATGAATGTGCTCTGTGCAGATCCTGGCTTTTGATGTCTGGGGGTTTATTTTGAAGTGTAAAGGCTGCTTTTTCCATTGATGACTCCGGAAGGCAAAAGGGACTGTTTAGTCCTTGGAAATGATGCATTAGGATTTAGAGATGAGAGGGAAATTTATCACCAAATGCCAGGCAGGGACTATCTTTTGTAATAACAACTTTTCAGGAGCTTATCTTTGTCAGGGAATTCATAGAAGGTACTGGCAGACAGGCAGGCACCTGATTACAGTGTGTTTTGTAAAGATATTTCAACTCAGCCACCCAATACTCCACTGTCAAAGGAGCAATTTTGTTCTTCAGAAAAGTGAGAAGAATTAAAATTGGGCTGGTTCCCTTATTCAGATGCAACACCCGTGAAAGCACCGATTAGTTATTGAAATGTATAGCTGAGAAAGCTATGATAAACTGTGAAGAAAATTTTGGCAGTAGGCCAGCCCTCATTTCTTGTGTTCCAGTATGATTTATGTGGCATATCCCAAGTACAATCATTTGTTATGTCATTCAGACTGCCAATAAAAATTAATTTGTGATTAAATAATATATGAAAGATTAATGTTTCAACTCCCAACCTATTATTTTCACTGTTTTTGTTTAGGAAATAGAATAATTAAGACTAATAAGTTCCCTGTAGGGACTTACGGTCATTAACTATTTTCTAATACCATAACATGAAGCAGTATTTTCAAGGTTCTGATAGAAATGAAATATTCTCAATAAATGCCAAGAAGGAAGAGACCTTTATCCTGTCTGTGTTGTTGTTATTAAGAGGATTGACCCTGTATCTACCGAGTGCCATCAGTCTTCTAAAATGGCACTGTCCAGGGGGATTTTCTGTGATGGAAGTACTCTATGCCTGCACGGTATTATAAAGCAGCTACTAGTAATGAGCACTTGACATGTGGCTCCCTCCAATGAGGAAATCGTCATTGTGATTAGTTTTATCACATAGCCACATGTAGCTGGGTTCTGCAATACTGGGCGAAGCAGTTCTGGAGCAGTGTGTGAGTTGTTTTCCAAGGCAGAAGTGGTGCCAATAATACACTTGGGAAGAAGAGTTGCCATAAGCAGAAGTCATGCCTACAGGTGGTGCGGCGGAAATGCTCCTGGGTCTGTTTAGTTATGTTGGGGATGACTTCCCTGACTTTTGACACCAATGATTGGCAATTTTCTCTTCTGTTACTGTTGAGAATGATGAAGGTGGTCTAAACACATGTCTGTGCCAACAGGGAATAAAAGGGCAGGTAGATGAAAGTTGATTAAGCTTGGCAGAAGGAACAGGGTTCAAGACCCTCAGCTCAGTCTGGACAACTTCCAAGTCTTTTTTCCATGACCCACCCTCACCGCACAGGGAAAGACTAAGGGAAGGAAAGGACATGGTATGTGATATAGGATGAACAGTTAAAGGAGATGGCAACACAATTGTGACTTCTTCTCAGAACAGTGATCAGGCCATTGAATATGGTCATCCCTGAGATAAGCCTAGGACAGCACTCTAGAGATGTTTGCTGAAATTCCCCCTGTCTGTTCACATTCCAATTCATTTACCAGAATTTGGCAGAATCTGACAAGCACTGCTCAAAAAGTAAAAGAGGAAAATGAGGAGTAGAAGACGCAAAGACTTGACTTTTCATTCCCAGAAGTAGCTGAAGATACTTAAACAATGGTTTATTTAGAGAAATAGCAACACTGAGCCTGATACTGAAAGTAACTATTGCCTGTGTCTGTGAGAGGTACATTTAGAGAAGAGAAAGCATGCTGGGAAGAAATCACTAAATTCATACCCAAAAGACCTGCGCTCCTGGCCCCTACAGCCAGTGTCTCTGTCACTTAAGTTTTCTCACTGGAGTAAAGCAAAACCCTGCCAGTTTCCCCAGGTGCTTGTGAAAAGCAATTGACATGATATATGTGAAGTTCCATGTGAAGAAATTAAGTGCTAACTAAAGACTTCTTGCTTCACATTTGGAGCACATCTAGTCAGAGGTGTAAGACATTCTAAACATTTTGTCCGTGGTGCTTTGGATATACCTTTTAACCTAAAAAAGAAGGCAGCTGTCAAAATAATGATTCCAAGAATGCCAAAACACTCGAACTTTAAGCAAGAACAATTATTACTTCTACACTTAACTGCACATTTTCTTTGCAGGCAGCTAAGCGAGCATCTGTAAGGCAGCGGATTAGCCAGAGAAATTCCCACACCAACGTGTTCTACAGCATTCTCACCATTAACAACGTGCAGAGCCGAGACAAAGGGCTCTACACTTGTCATGTGAAGAGTGGGCCATCATTCAGATCTTCCAACACCTCAGTGCACATATATGGTAAGCAGTGGTTCAGTTCCAGTTCTGTCTTCCAAGCATTGTGGGGTTAGGTATTCTTTGACTGGGAGTTATGAGACATGAAGGAACAGTGCTTTCTTGTGAGCCCCTTCACCCTCTGCCAAAGGGCAAATGAAGCACATTTGATACTCTTCCAATTTAGTACTTTGGATTGGGACTGAGTCTTTTCTTTAGAAGTTCACTATGGTTGATTACTCAGGTTGTAAGGTCTGTATGAATGCCCTCGTTCAGTGTCCCATGTAAACAAAATGGAAAATGATGATCCATTTTGCCTTATCAGATGAAAATTTCCCAGATACTACCATGAAGTAGATAAATAAAAATATAGTGTGATTATTTCAAATTAATACTGTTTTATCCCTGCTTATACTATCAAGGAATCCTGATACTGTTCAATTAGATATTTGAATTCTAACATGTAAATTCTATAAAGAAAACTGTTGGGGCTGGAGAGATGGCTCAGTGGTTAAGAGCACTGACTGCTCTTGCAGAGGACATGGGTTCAATTCCCAGCACCCATATGGCAGCTACGAACCGCCTTAACTCCAGTTCCAGGGGAATCCGAAGCCCTCTTCTGATCTCCACTGCATTGCATGACACGGGTGCACTCACATACATGCAGGCAATACACTCATACACATAAAATAAAAATAATAAATAAAATATTTTAAAAAAAGAAAAGAAAACTGTTACAAACTTTCTGTCCATTATGAAAAGGGAACATGTGAGGAGCAGCACCTATGGAACAGTTCTATCAAAAGCATTTCATTTTCTGTTCTCTTTCTCAGCTTGATTAATGCCTAATTATTTTAGGGGACCAGAATAATTTTCTCCATCTAACTCATATTGGCCAGGTCCCCTTCTTTGCCACTGTGACAGATAGATACTGTGTTGCCTGGCCACTGTTTTATGTTGCTAGTACTTACTGGTAGTTGATCTGAAGATATCTCACCAGTTGAAGTGCCTTTGAAGGATTTTATCCATTGATCAGTAGTGGACTTAATGACGGGTTCCATCATGATTAGCTGTGCTTATCATGTGTTGATCACTCCTTAGTGAGGTTTTGTTTATATAATGCATTCTTTCCTAATGTATTTATCATTCTACTTTCAAAGAAAAAGGATTCATCACTGTGAAACATCAGAAACAGCAGGTGCACGAAACCATAGCAGGAAAGCGGTCCTACCGGCTGTCCATGAAAGTGAAGGCCTTCCCCTCGCCAGAAGTTGTATGGTAGGACCACAATCATTCCCCATGACAGTTAAGCTTCATTTTGTGAGTAGGAAGATGCACAATCTCAGTGGCTCACATTCCTGTAGAGATACCAAGAGAAGTTGCCTGAAGCGGCACCAAAGGCCTGAGGGCTGTGCTAGTTTCTGGGTGGTGGAGTTGGGGAACGCTGGAGGGGAAAGGAAGCAGTACTCCAGGGTGAAATACTGGAGTACCATACAACTTCAAGAGTTGAGAGAGAGCTGAGTGGTCCATTCAGTTTAGCGGTCCCTCACCCAGACTAAATTTCCAAATCCTGAAACCTTCCTATGACATCAACACTCTGAATGAATGTGTTGGGCAATAATTCAGAGGCATCTTGAATGTATAACATGCTCTATTAACCTTGAAGAAGTGGGCCCTTGTAATGAGGATGCTGAAAATAATTCTTTTATATGCAGCTGGCTTGAAAGTCCCAGCCTTGTTTTAAAATTCAACAAACATTAATAAAGACTGGATTTACTCATTTTCAGGAGTGGACCAGTGGACCTACTTGAACTAATTAAGTTTCCTTTGGCTTGAAGTTTGCATATTCAGAAGCTCCTTACCCGTTTTTTTGTTTTTTGTTTTGTTTTGTTTTTTTCTTTTTAAAAACCACACTTTGAGCCAGGTGAGGTGGCACATGCCTTCAATCCAGCACTGGGGAGGCAGAGGCAGGAGATCAAAGCCAATATGGTCTACAGAGTGAGTTCCAGGCCAGTTGGGGCTCCAGGCGAGACCCTTTCTCAAAAAGAAAAAAGAGAAAAAAAAATCAAACCAGTGCACCACCTATGTAAAACAATGCCATCTGTTATAACCTGCAGCCTGCAGCCATTTTGTTAAATTGCTTTATAATGTCATTATGTTTGGCTTAAGTCACTACATTTTAAATAAATGATATGCTGTATGCTCACAGCCAATTAGGAATACAATCAATCCATGCAATGCAGGAGGACTGCCATTTTGAAGTCTCCTCACCAAAATCTGCCGGCATTCAGCACCATCTGTGGTTGCAGGTTTTGTCTAAGCAGCTTTCCTCAAATACTTAACAGGAAATTAAAGAGAAAATCTAAAGTTTATACCAGGTCTCCATGCCACTGTAGTGGAAGAAAGGAATATTTTTATTTCATAGTTTCTAAAAAGATTAAGAGAAAATTATTATTGTATTGCTATACATAAAATAGGATACGGTTTTAAAAAGGGAATTTAATAGAACATTTCATAGTAATTTAATGCCAGGAGGTGCATTCGTTCTTTTTAGTCTGAGCACACCTTTAGCTGTTCGTGCTGATTTCTTCAGTAACTAAGTAGCAAGAGACAAAATAAAACAAAATACTCACTTTTGAAGTGCTGTCTTGTTAATAGGGAATAATTTGAAGTAATACTAAAGGAATATATGTAATCATAGACTGTAGCATAGTCATTTTAACTGCTTTGGAGCAGAGACTTTGTCCACAGGTCTGTAGGCTTAAGAACCATTTTTAGGGCCAGGTGTGGTGGCACATGCCTTTAATCCCAGCACTTGGGAGGCAGAGGCAGGCGGATCTCTGTGAGTTCAAGGCCAGCCTGATCTACATAGTAAGTTCCAGGACAGCTGGGGCTACAGGGAGACCCTGTCTCAAAAAGACCAAAAAGAAAAAAAGAAACATTTTTAGGGCTGGAGAGGTGACTCAGTAGTTGAGAGCACTGGCTGTTCTTGCAGAGGACCTGGGTTTGGTTCCTTCTACCTACATGGCATGAGGTGCCATGGCAGCTAACAACCACCTTAACTCCAGTTCCAAGGGATCTGATGCCCTCTTCTGGCCTCTGTTGGGCACTAGGCATCACACGGTTCACTTACATACATGTAGGCAAAACACTCATACACATAAAATAAAAATAAATAAAACTTTTTTTTTTTGAGGAAGCATTTCCACCTTTTTACACAATACACTCCTAACAAATGAAAGGCCTGTTGAAAGAACTGCATGTTTAAAATGAAATCATAGAATCATGTTTAAAATTAAATCAAAGGGATCTTTGAGAACTTCTAGAAGACTTGAGGACACTGCAGCTCAGGCTGGTTAGTGACACACATAGCAGCATGAAGTTGGGGCAGAGCCAGACCAAGTGGCCAGGCCTCCTGATGCATACTTACTGCAAACAGAGGACATCAGGTGCTGAATCAATATTTAAGATGTTTTTTTAATTCTTGTAGGTTTATACCTTTTTTTTTGCGCCCTGACTGTTCTTCCTCAGGGAGATTATCTTTTTTTTTTACTATAGCTTCCCTATGAAAGGGACAACTGATGTGACCATTTATATAATTCCTAAGAACTCCACATAAGCCCACAGTAGAAGTATCTACTTTTATTTTTATCAAGTCTAGCTGACCGACTTACAAGGGTTCTTGTACTGTTCGTGGAATCTTATGGAAAACTCTTCGTAAGCAGTTTGATGGACACAGACCTGTAGGTCTGGCTGATAATTAAGTCGCAGAGACCACCAACACCCCTGTGGGCACATTAAGTCACCACTTTTCTTCCTCTTGGTTTACTTCTTCTTTGTTCATAAATATGAAATGTTACCAAGTCTAAAACCCACACCTACCTTTACTGAACAGTTAGTGCCTAAACTTTTTCAAATCAATGTTGATGTGCAAAGGCTTGAAACAGATCAATTTGAGTCACAAACTGAAATGCCAGTGCTGTAAGCATATGTTGGGAGGCAGGTAAAGTGACTTACCTGTCATGCTCTTAACTACAGGTTAAAAGATGGGTCACCTGCAACACAGAAATCTGCTCGCTATTCAGTTCGTGGCTATTCGTTAATTATCAAAGATGTAACTATAGAGGACGCAGGAGATTATACAATCTTGCTGGGCATAAAACAGTCAAAACTGTTTAAAAACCTCACTGCTACTCTGATTGTAAATGGTAAGTTTACAGTTTGTACATTCTTTGAGTTTTGGGAACAGCAAAATTAATGAAAATTTATCAGTTCAAAAGTCAGTATAACGTCAAAGAAAACACTGTTTTTAAAGCCATTTCTAATGGATGGGAGAGAGCTCAATGGTAGTGTTTGCCTAGTGTGTACAGGGCCCATCCCAAGTACCACAAAAAAAGAAGAAAAGTCTCTCTCTCTCTCTCTCTCTCTCTCTCTCTCTCTCTCTCACACACACACACACACACACACACACACACAATTAAAAACCACACCACTTCTGTTCCCATCATAATTGTTCAAGTTTGCCTATCTTCCATAGACAAGATGACTGTTTAACATCAAAGTCAAAGTGTACATACTATGGGATGTACTCAACAATGTGTGCAACAGATTTCTACTTTTAAAAAATAGGCATTCCTTTACAGAACATGAACACTTAATTGTGGTTTTATTTCCCTGGCCTCAAAACCAATGAAACCGGTCATTCATGTGAGGCCCAGGAGAAAGTCCTTGGATCAGTTCTTGACTTCTATCTTGCTCTTCTCCTTTCCAGTAAAACCTCAGATTTATGAAAAGTCTGTGTCATTTCCAAACCCAACTCTTTACCCGCTGGGCAGCAGACAAGTCCTGACCTGCACCGTGTATGGGATCCCTCAGCCTACGGTCCAGTGGCTCTGGAGCCCCTGTCATCACAATCACTCTAAAGCAAGGTAGGGACAATCCTGAGTCGTTTTCAAAGATGTTTTGCCCCCACCGGTGAAGAATCTCTTATGGTCCCATCTAGGATTCACAGGGTATTAGGTGTCTTTGGGGCCAAAGCTTTCCCTGCCTTGAAGTAGATAGACGACAGCTGCTGTTTCTCACTGAAGACGCTCTGCCATTGGCTCACTGGTGATCATTTTTTGCCCAATTGTACAGAAACATGGGAACAAAAAGGAAGGCTTCCCTGGGAGCTATTATTTGACTAGGTTGGAGCTTCTATCTTTTTCCTAGTTGAGTAGCCTAGACAATCACCCTGCCATTGTGTCAGTTACCCTGGTCTTCCCATTCTTCAAATTTTCTCTTCATTGAAGGGGAGCCAAGTTCTTCCCAACACAGATGGCTATTATTTCCTGTTTGGGGGCTTGGCTCATACTTTTCTGTCTGTCTGAAATTTGCTTCTACTCATTGTCTGTCTCATAAGAAATCTGTCTTCTCTCAAACCCCAAAGCTCAGCTGTTATGTCACCTTCCCTCTGAACCCTCTGGACTGCATCATTCCAACTGATTTCTCCCTCTGATATGAGCAGTACTTGTTCATACCATTGTTGTCAATCCATGTGCCCAGGTTTGTCTCTCTCTAGGCTATGGTGCAGCTAACTGCAACCACCTGTGTCTGTGGGGCCAGGCAAGATCAGGCACCCAGCAGATGCTCAGTGTGAGCTTGCTCAGTGAATGCATCTCTATTCTCTACTAACTGTGCAGCGTTTCCTGGCATCCTGTTCATGACTGAGCCTGTTTGTTTTTTCCCCTGTTTGTTTAGTCTAGGGAGATGATACCTAAGATAATTCATGGGAGCTAATTGAAAGAACAGGAATAGAACTGATAGGTACAACAGTAAGAGACCATTGAAACTCCCCAAGAATTATCATTGTGCCAAAATATTTTCTTTATTGCTTTTAACTCCACCTGGAGAATGCTGGGGAGGACTGCTATTAAACAAAACAAACCCCAAAACTAGCTTGATAAGAAATAGGGTGGTGGGTGACTGGAGAGATGGTTCAGTGGTTAAGAGCACTAGCTGCTCTTGCAGAGGACCTGAGTTCCATTCCCAGCACCCACATGGTGGCCCACAGCTGTCTGTAACTCCAGCTCCAGGGCATCTGACACCCTCTTCTGACATCCACGGGCATTGTATGACATGGGTGCACTTACATACATGTAGGCAATACATTCGTACACATAAAATAAAAATAATAAATAAAAAAAATTTTTTTAAGTGAACAGGGGGTAACTCTACCATGTCTATTTGTTTCTCTTTGACTCTTCACGTGTCTTATACTTGGTTTAGGGCATAGTATTATGGTAGTGGAAAGTTACTGGTTGTTTCAGAGTTCCTGAGAAGTAGCCATTTCCACACGTCTGGTTTTTCATTTGACAGTCATTTTCTAAGAATAGAAATATAGAGAAGTTACAAAATCTTTGGCTTTTGTGGACAGTTGATTGAGAACACAACAAAATCTACAAGATTTTATATTATTTTGCTAATTTGAGTTAGGCATCCATACTTAATAGGCCCATCCATTTGATATTTATACTAACATGCAAATAAATTAAATAATTAAAATTGGTTAGGATAAAATTTTAGAGATAAATTTTCATGAAATAATATACCCTTTATAGATATCTTAAATTCTTTTTTTTGACATCAAATCTGACATTTCAATTCTGGGGCTGGAGAGATGGCTCCACAGTTAAAAGCACCTGCTGCTGTTGCAGAGGACCCAGGTGCAGTTCCCAGCACCCACATGGCAATTCACAACTATCTGTAACTTCAGTTCCAGGGGATCCAGTACCCTCTTCTGGACTCCAAGTGTACCTACACACATGTGGTGCATACACATACATGTAGGCAAAATACTCATACACATTAAAAAACTTAAAAAATTGAAATTATAAAATTTCAGTTCTATTCTTACTAAATTTCAAGAGTAGCTGTGATAGAAAATTTGATGACCAAGCATCATATTGAGTTTGGAGATGAGAGATGCTAATGACATATGATTGGGGAATGAGGTGGGCTTAAGTGAACTTTGTAAGCACTAGCTCTCTTTTCAGTTTCTTTGTGGTGTGTGGGATATTTCTCCATCCTATGGAGACACTCACCAAGACCAGGAAAGCTGCCATACTCCTTTTTGAAAAAAATTTCAAGACTCACAGCACTACCTTAAATGTTTGTTGACCATTTAAATTACCCTATTAAAGCCACTTTATTTTTTGCAATTCACAAGACAGATCAGACATGGAAGTTTTTTTTCATATGTTGTTGCTTGAAATTATCTGCTGAATATGTGCATACTCATAAACAGCTTTGTTCTTTTCATCAGAGGGTATTGAAATAGGCACAGGTTTGGTGCTTGGGGGTTAAGTGAGAAATGTTTTAGAAGTACTGGTGTGACCTTGGCATACCAGCAAATAAAAGAATAGCTTTATTTCACTCTGTCAGAGAAAGAAGCCAGATTTATAGCCAAATGAAGCCCTCTTTAATTACTAAAAGTTTTCAAATGCCTTTATGTACATTTATTTTATATGCTTGGATTAACTTAGATTCACTTGTAGATAGGAATTTTCATCAGTGACATGAATAAGGATATTCTATTGTAGTCATTTTAAGTTACATAGTAACATATATGCATAGTGGTACCAATGTATGATCTTCAAAAGAGATTGGGCTTAAATGCAAGGCACTAGTTCAAGGACACATCTATACATGGTCACAGCCAAATCACTAGTTTATTTTTGAAGTCCAACATTATTAATTGGTTTACTATGATCAGCTACATAATATATCTAAGTTAATATTAAAAGAGATTCAGACAATTCAAATTTTATTGTTTCCTAGCCTCTGACAAATACTTTAAAGCTACTGGAACAGCTGTACACCTAGACATTTCTTCTTTTAAAAATATGTGGCAAAATGCCTTATGCAAATGAGCCTTTTTAACTGAATAAAACTGTGGGTTTTGGTTTGCCTATAATTCATTCTTATAAAGCATTAGTAAGAGACCCTGTGTGCTGTTAGAAGGGTAACTATAAATCACAATTACATGCTATATATTTTTAAATGTCCAAGAAAGGATATTAAGTGCTTTCGTGATGAAAGAAAATAATAAATGTTTGAGGAGATTGGTAAGTTTAACCATATTTGTGTATGTATGTATAGGTGTACCACGAGGTATCCCATGAGTTTACACAGTTTATACATTTTTGTATATCAATTTTAAGAAAACATAGGAATAAACAGGGGTGTTATTTAAATTCATATAGCTAAAGAGGAAGAAGAAATAAAGCAAACTATTTCTCCCTTTCCTACATTTTTGTATGGTAAGGTGTTAAAGGACATAGAGTATTTCTTAGGAACGTTTAATAATATTCAAGAAAATTGTCAGCACTGAATAGTTCTTAGATTTTTTTTCTTATCCTTAACATCTGATAGACACTTCTAGATATTACTAAAAGTCCTCCATGTTAACCTAGCATACACCTAGGAAACTTCCATGAGAGTATTAAGCTTCTGGTACCTTCACACATCTTTCGTTTGCATCTTCTGTTAATATAAAATAAATATAATTAAATGCACTTCACAGACAAAAGTAATGTATCTGGGGAAAGTCCACAGTGACACAGAAAGGCAAGGCTGGCCTATACTAGCATTTTGAAGAGCACATTGCTCTGAAACTTGTAGAAAACTTCAAAGGAAATTTTTGCCTACAATAGAGCCCATTTCACAACATGGGGAAATTTTAACAAATATTTCTGAAAAAATGAATAGACATTATGGAAAATCAAATGCAATTTTGCTGTGCTTTAAAAATAGAAATCTAGAGACTGGAGATCTGACTCACCATTTTCCAAAAGACCTGGATTTGGGCCCTAGCACCCACATGGAGGTTAACACCCATCCTTAACTCTAGCTCCAGGAAAACCGATGAACTTTTTTGAGGTGCACTTACATACATGCAAGCGAAACACTCATACACTAGCCAGGTGTGATGGTGCATTTTAATCCCAGCACTCAGGAAGCAGGGGCAGGTGAATCTCTGTGAGATTGAGGTCAGCCTGATCTATATAGCATGTTCCAGGCCAGCTGGGTCTACAGAGAGACCTTGTCTCAAAACAAAAACAAAAACAAAACAAAACACAAACAAAAACAAAGCAAAACAACAACAAAAACTCATACACAAAAATAAATAAAATCTTTTTAAAATAAAAATAGAAATCTAGTAAGAATGAGGAGAAACACGTAAATTTGAGGAAAATGTAATTTATGACTTTCAGAGGAAGAAAAATTAAGGAACTCTTGAAGAGTTGGGTAAAAGTAAAAGGAAGAAGATGAACAGAGAGGTGAAATGGAAAGGTGAAGCAACTGTCCTTACTCAGTGACCATCCGGTCACTCTGGCAGGAAGTGGTTCTGCCCTGCCCTTCAGGGAGGGTAAGGCTGGAGTGAGACAGAGTAGGCTCCAGGAACAGCTGCCTCCACCTCACTAGCCCACACTCCATTCCTGGAAATGCACATGGCTCCCTTGTTTTCTTAAAAATAAAGTAAGACTAAACCTTCTGGACCAAATGCTACTCAGTTTTAGAAAGCAAAAAATACTTATTTTATGTATATGAGTGTTTTGTGTGTATGTATTGCTATGTATTATGTGTGTGCCTGGTTCCCAGGGAGACCAGAAGAGAGTGTCGGATCCCCTGGAACTGGAGGTACAGATGGTGTTAGCTGCCATGTGGGTAATAGGAACCGAACCCAGGTCCTCTGCAAGAGCAGCCAGTGCTCTTAGCCCCTGAGCCATCTCTCCAGTCTCAGGGGTTACTCTTGATCTCAGGTCTCTGACGGGCTTTGCCGTAGCACTAGTGCACTCTCATGGGAAGAGTGGTTTAGAGGAGACTGTCCAGGACAAGGAGTCTCTACAGGACTCTGCAATGGGTCCTCCCTGGGGATTTGAGGATC